ACGGGCACGAATAGCCAGCAGGAAGTGCTCCTCGTCTGATTTGTGTGAATGGGTGTGCGTGCGACCGTGTGTTTGCTCTCTGTCGTACATTGCAGGTAACGAAGCGGATCGCCCTGCAGCTTCGTATCTATATGACGGATGTACGTGTAGAATATCGTCACATCTTCCTTCGTCTTTTGAATTTTCCATTCTTTTGTTAATTGAATAAGTAAGAAGAGAGCAAATATAGTTAAGGCTAGATCTTAGTGTTTAATAATATCTTTATATATAAATTCTAAATATATATCTTTCCGTTATATAAACTGCGTGCTGCTTATTTATATATCTACTGTCGGACTTGAAACGCATAACTGCATGTTGACGCTTTCAGTCATAAACTGAAGCTAAAATAATAATATCACAATTAAATTGATCGTCAATTTAATAATGATGCTATGAGCAATTCACCTGTGAAGAACTTTTGCAAAAAATATTACTCTAACCAGGATTTCTTTGTTAATTTTGAATAATTTTGTGAAATCTTGCAGCCCGCAGATTACTGCTTTGAAATATTACTACACAAAAAATATCAGTGTGGATTTAACACTATACTGTGTCTATATAATTCTTACGTGTTGGTGTTAATGTTAATATTAATATGGTGTGGATTTAAAACCTACGGTGTTAATCTATGTTATATTGGTGTTAATAACATCAACATAGTGAAAATTTATGGACACTGCATGATGTCAAATCCATACCGATATTTTTTATAATGTAATTTTAATACAAAGTTAATATCCGAAAAATAAAGTTTTTTTCGAATATTAGCTTCGTATTAAAGAGTTAAATCTAACTCCTATTCTTCTGTCATTTATTTTAACTCGTGACGTTCGTTGAGATCCAAAACGAAACTTTTGGAACTTTGAAATTATGAAGTTACGGACCACGAATGATAAATGATGTTTGAATAAAAATGTCTTACTTTTTGCGATTAATCTCAAATGGATCTCTCTTTAGCGGAAGTCTTTATCGAGGACTCATTACATAAAGATGTGAAAAATTAAAGAATTCGTAAAATATTCGTGGAAAATTCAAGGATAAAGCGAGGTGCGAAGCACCTGAATCGCGTCCTGTATTTTTATAGGAAATAGAGAAAAAGCCAAAAAAAAGAAAACATACGACATCGATCGATTCGATTACTCGTGCACTTAGGATTCTCTCGGTATCAATAGCGCCACGATGGAAGAAAGTCAGGTGTGCTTGTTCTCGAGACGAATTTTATACGTTCTGCGCAGATTCCAAATGTGGCCATTTAAACATTTGTACCGCGATAATTTTGAAGTGATAGCTCGAGAGACCAAAATGAGTACTTGCCATGAAAACATGTAAAAATGGTCATTTGGAAGAAGAATTCAAAAATATATATTTTTATAAATGTATAATAATTATAAATAATAGAAATTCAACAACCTATACCGGTCGAAGCTAAATCTTTAATGCTTTAAATAATTCAATGTGAATTATATATATATATACTATATATGTACTTGCATATATAACATACGAGTATTTGTAATCCTTTAAACTGCGCACCGAATTGGTTTTCCGGACTTATAAACGCAATTAAACTACTGGAATAATATCACGAATTAAATTAAATTGACAAGCAATTCTTAAATAATTTTAATGCGCTGAAAAACTGTAAATAAATTGATTGCGAAAATTATTACCTCGGCCGGGAGTCGATCCCGGATCTCTTGTATTCCGTACGAGCGTCCGGAAAACCAGTTCGGTGCGCAGTTTAAAGGATTACAAATACTCGTATGTTATATATGCAAGTACATATATAGTATATATATATATAATTCACATTGAATTATTTAAAGCATTAAAGATTTAGCTTCGACCGGTATAGGCTGTTGAATTTCTATTATTAATTGTGTTTCTCACATTGTACGGTCTAAAAATAAGATTCTTATTGTTTAATAATTATAAATATATATTTCACTTCCCAAAATAGAAAGCGTTAATATTAAAGTGGAAAGAAGCAGAAAATTAATTTTTATTATGACAAAAGATGAAACCAAATTATAATTATATTGTACATATATTGTAAGTAAATATAATTGAAAACACAAAAATAAGTAAAATGTTAATGACATAACGTTTAATTCATATAACTGCAGCAACACAGCAGTATATGTTGTCATGTCTTCATTGGCTGTTAGAAATGTATGCGCAAGAGCACACCTTCCATCACCATGGGCAGCGTTTCGCTCATCCGCTGAAATGTGCGACGCTACTGAATAAAGTGACAGAAGTGTCGCTTCCGGTGGCGTTTTTTATTTTTTTTCCAAGGGTGCGCCGCACAATAACGATAACGATAATCACCGAGCGATGCGAACGGCCGCGTCTTATTTTACATTCATGGTATATTACGCAATGAAGGTGTGCGTAGCAAGCGGGGGATAGGCGAGGGAAAATTGCAAAGCACGATTACGTGGATATTGTCCGATGTTGGAAATACGTTTGCCGTTTTAGTCGAAATCAGCGAATAAGGCCCGGTTCCATCAATGTAAGATTAATTTTAATTTCGATTTAATTTACTGTTTATCTTTTTTTAATTGTAGAGTTAAAAAAGATAAAGAGTAAATTGAACTGAGATTAATATTACACTGTTGGAACTGGATCTAAATTGAATTTAGTCATAGGTTAGTTTTAATTTATAAACGATTGATAATATTAGATAGTGGTCGAAATCAATAAAAGCGTTAGCGAGTAACGGCATGATCGAAAGACGTGACTCGAGCGAGTACTGTTATATGATAAAATCTACTGATCTAATTCGTAGTTTACAATATATGCGCAATAGATATAATTTTGCACGCATCGCTGAATCGTAAAACAACAGGAGATTCCGTGTTCATATGAAAACCAGCAGTGTCTGTATATGTGGTGGATTAATTCATTTTGTCTAACACCATTCATCACGCATTCTATTTTCGCGGCGGATGGTTCGTCGATTCGAACAGAAAAATCGTGAGATTCGGCGGCCGGAGTATTCATCGTGAGGCAAACTCGGGGTTCAAATTGAAGTAATTAAAACCCGGGTACGCGGGGGTCAGGAAAGTTGGCTATTGTCAGTCGAGAGCGTGCGCCTTGTTAAATTTCTCGGTCGAGCGGGATCCTTCGTCGCAAGTGGAGCGAAACGGATGGCCAATGGCCAATGATGACTCTAAACTCTCTCTTCGTCCCCTCGCTCCTCCCTCCGTCGAGTTACCCACGATGCGCTTCCGATTCCCTTTCTGTCTCCTTTTTAAAAGCTCCTCTTCCCCTCGTTTACTTTTTTCTCGTAAAGTTCGTGACTCACTGGCAGTCCTTTCTTGAAAAGGGGGTTAAAAAAAGAGACACTAAGGGATATATCTTTCAAGTTCGAAATTTTTCAGTATCCTCGTTAGGACGACTGAACAGTTTTGTTATTATTAGCGGAAAATATGCTAATCTGTCTTTCTTCAAATCATTTATTTCTCTCTTCTTAGATTTATCGTCCTGCAAGAAAACTTGTCGAAAAATATATCTTAATTATATATTAGTGATTACACTTATAAAAAAAAATTTAATAAATTAGCAAAATTGATATTTTTTAACAGGAATCAAGTATTGTGTTTATATGAAAAAATTTAGTTGCTTCTGCAAAATACATTTTTCAGCTTTGTAAATAATATAATAAAAATAATCTTGAGGCTTTTTTTCACGGGTGTTACCTATGTGACAATCTTGCGTTTCGCGGGTTTTCTCCGTGTTTAGATCCATTCTTGGAATGCCAACGATACTGAGAAGTATCAGACTGCTCCTCGCCCTGATGAAGTGAACTGCAAGGTTCACGAAACGTTGCGAAACGCAAGATTGTCAAATATAATAAAAATATTTATTTATATCAACTAAACAATTAATGTAACTAAATATTCTTGTTCGGTAAATTTTAACCAAATATTTTGTTATAGCAAAATTTTGGTTTATAGAACAAAATATTTTTCCTAGTGTAACAGTAGATTACTATTTTGTTTTACGAACAAAAATGTTTGTTTATACCAACTAAACTGTTTAGTTGGTATAAAAAATTATTTAAAGCTGAAGAATATTGAGCAGAAGTAACTAAATTTTTTGTTATATAAACAAAAATTTAGTTGTTAAAAATACCTTAATTAAACAGTTTTGTTGAAGATGCTAAATTTTTTTAGTACATATTCTAGTATATATATTTTCTAGTACATTTTAGTACATAAATTTTCTAGTACATACATCAACGATTATGATTATATTAACATAATCTATTAATTTTTATTGAACTTTATATCTTTCAATTAGTTATTTTTCCGATTTTAAAGTCGTCACTTTAAGAATTATAAATCTCTATATGTAATTTCTATATAATTAGTGACCTAAAGATTACATGATTGATATGTCAGTAATTAAAAAATCCTCTCTGACGAAAGAAGTCAACGGAATCACGAAGCGTCTGAGGAAAACAGGTTAATCGTGTATTTTTGGCGTACCGTCTAAATGCCACCGTGCTGCGTGCAAATATTTAGCAAAACGTTCGCGCGAATAATGCTTCACGTTTCGTACGCCGGCGTGCATGCAGGAAAAAAAGGTTAAACAAATATTAAAGGCAAACAGAGAAGAACCGGATTTGAAGCATGCGGCAAATCCGACCGACGCATATCGTTCTTTTGAATCTGGACTTTTTCTTTTTTTTTCTCTTTTTTCTCCTCTCTTCTTTCTTTCTTTATCTCTCTTGTTTACTTTCGACCTCCTTCCCTGAGGCGAAAAACCCCATCCACGATTTTAGCCACGATGTCACCCTGATGCCTCGTTGCTTCGTAATGACTCTTTCGTTCGTTGACGCGATATAATTTGAATCGTGGTATTCCGCGGAAAAACGAGAAAAAAATTATGGCAGGTAGATACGTAACAAGGAAGATGTATCGCGAATGAGGCGAGTTTTGCTTTTCTCCCTCTCCCTCTTTTTTTCTCTTTCCTGCCGCTGTTGCCGCGAATCTAAGGCGCGTTTTCTGTCGTAAGCAGAAGTACTGTCAGGACATCCGGCGTCCGTGATACGTTTCCAATATTTCATCGGCTCGTTTGTGTTATTTCGCTAGACAACTCGTCGATGCGAGATCGTCGGCTCTATGGTTCAGCTTCAGGTATCCATGCTTTTTATTTGCCATTGTCATTTTGTTTCTTTTTTTATAGGATCACTTTACATATTATTACCTATGTAATAATGCAAAATGCCATTTGCAATGGCGTTCGGCTTGTTAAACGGAACCGAGAAATGTCGGAAGTGTCAAGCACCGTAAGGACATTTTTGTTTCCAACGTGAGGAGAAATATATGTTCTGCGGGTTACTTATCTCTTCTATATTGATAAGAAATTATTAATAATCTATGGTAATAACACTATTAACATTACAGTTATTACGTGCATGTATTTAATGGAGTTCAATGCAATGAAACTTGAGTGATCGATAATTGGTGCAGCGAAATACATTTTAGTCGGTGCGCCGCGTTGCCAATGAATTAATTTGTCGTGTGTATGTACGGGTGTGCGTGTGTACATAGTGCGTGGGAGAGTAGAAGAGACAGAAATCGGACTGTTAATCCAATCTACACGCCAAATCAGGAATGATGGCCCGGTAACCGTTCGCACCTTTTAATGATCCATACATTTTGATTCGAGGTAGGAACCTGGCGAGAAACTTGATTTCTACGTTACGTTGGATTAGTGAAACGTGGCGATCATTAGCAGAAAATTAGGTCTCGTAATTGAACGTTTGTCGAAATTTCCACGGGAATTGTTTGCGATTGAAGCATCCACGGCGGCTACGCGGAGGTTAACCGTTCGCCGCATACAGGAAATGGGCGTTCTGCCCCGTGTCATCATGCGGTCGTATCGGTTACACGAACGTATTTGGCGCCAGTATGCAGGAACTTTGAGGGTCTATCGACAATTTCTTTCGAAGCACCGATCTCTCCTGCTTCCGTTAATTACTCGTCGAATGACCAGTCAGCATTCTGAAGGGTGTCGCGGACTTTAAAACCGCTAATCTGTTTGACATCTATTTGCGAATGCGTTTTGTCGTCAGTGTCGTGTTTTGCAGAATTGGTGGTCATTGCGGTTATTAGTGCATCCGGTAGCAAAATCTAAAAATATAATGACAAGATGAAGGAAGCAATTGTTTACAGTAAAAATTGCTTATGTACTTACTTCCGAACGTTCGCTGAGCCATTTTGCGAAAGACTTGACGCTCTCTAGATGCGTTATATCTTTCCAGACCACGTCCATCGTTTCTAGATCGGTCATCACGTTCTCGCATTGTAGCCATCTCTCTCTCACCCGATTTTTAGGCGGTACGAACCGAAGCTTCCAGGGAATCGCGGTGCCAAAGGCTATTGTTTTAGTCGGCTTACTCTCGGCTTTGGCATCTCTGATCAAATGCTTCTTGGTCATAGCAAGTTCACTTGCATTAAGACACTGTCTCGCTGCGGCAACATCGTTAGGCACCATCGGCATTTCCCTCATTGACATCTATTTCAAATACAATCGAATATTTTATTTTCTTATCTCCCTCTGGCGTAACGTAAAAAAATTTCCTTTTTGCTATGAATTTCTGACACTCTCGAAGACGTAGTACAAATTACAAAAAAAAAAAACAATCTTACGATAATGAGATTTCTGTCATTAATTTAATTGTGTTTTTTCTATTGAAAGGAAATATTATTTTCTCCATGAGAGACTCGACGAGCTTTATTTGAGAAATCCGAACGTGCAATCAGGTCAGCCTTCTAGTACTGTGTTGAAGTTATAATTCAAATCTCGCGTTGTGTGGTTCACTGCTCAAAGTGCGTATTATCGTTGTTACATCATGCATCGCATTATGATGTTACGCCGTTGTAGGACTATCGCGTGTATGCGCGAGAACGCATTTACGGGAGCGCAATACGCTATGCACCTATGCACTTTGTTTCTGTACCTCCATCGTTCTGCTGGCGTCGGCCGTAAAGTCAATTTCGAACATATCTCCTAGGATTTCCTCGTCGATGACTTTGTCGGTGCCGCCTAAACTGCGCAGCCACTCGCAGAAGTCACGGCATATTCTGTTCGTAATGTTTCTGGCTCTCATCTCAAGAGTAGCCTCGGGATCGTAGTCTTTAAGATCGGCGGCTGTTAAAGGACGCCAAGTGATAACCTGTAACGATCAGTGAGCTTCGGTATTAAGAAACCGAAGACTTTTGCATGGAGCTGTAGAAGCTGATTTTAGCGTACGAGACTGATAATGTTATTTCGCGTGTCGATGTCGTACCTTGCGCCGCGGTTTCTTCAAAAAGAGAGCATAAGGATTCAATCTGGCTTGACCTACTTTATGCTCATCTCCGTTCGTCGAAATGTCTTTGATCGTCGGGGGATGCACCTGCGGGCGTATAAAAGCTTACTTTCAACTAATAACTCTCGAACGAACAAAACGTACTGTCTCCGAGCAACGATAGAATTTACAGTATTAAATGAGAGACTTATTTCCATTTTTGACTTATATAATCTCAATTTATCGAACATAAAAAATATATAATGTAGCGAAAATGTAATTTCTAATTAGTTTTAATTGATTTTTATTAAAAGAAATTAATTAGAATTATAATCATGAAAATATAATATTAAAAATTTGAAAGTTACGACAAAGTTCTTCTGTAAAAAAATCTAAATTCGTTATAGAATGTTATATATTATAAAATATCCGATAGTTGCAGAACATATGTACATACGTACAATCAAATCGAAGGGAATCGCGCCTTCCGTCTCTTCTTCTTCTTCTTCTTCTTCTTTTTCTTCTTCTTCCTTTTCGTAATGTACTGTAGCCTCTTTTCGTATGGCTCTTTTCGGGTACCAATTCGGCATGCCCAATAATGGGGCGACAAGATTGTAGGAATCAAGCGGAAGGGCATGTCTCAGCAGACGGGAATTGCAAGCGGGAGGCTGTTTTGTGGAGAAAATAAGGTCAGACGGGAATTTATCAGGATTCAAATAACGTTGCGAATCCACCAGTAACTTCGTTAATCTCGCGACTAGTTTAGCGCGCTTTTTTGTCGCCGTCATGCTAGCGCCGTGTTGTTTCATTACCCGCAAAGAGAATTCGTTCGCCAAACTCTTCAGCATAGTCGTGGTCGACATGTCTTCGCGATTTGCTTTCTCTAAAAATCGCGAGACTTCAGCGACCGTCAAAAGCGGTAATTCCACGCGCCTCTCCGCTTTCACCGAGTCGGAGGAAGTCGACCCTTTCGCGGAATCTATCTCCTCCACGGGGATTACCTTTCCTTGCCCACCTTCCTCCTTGCCTCGAGGAATCTCGAACGTACGTCTCGTAGAATCCTTCGATAAATCCTTGATACTCGCGTAACTGTATCCTCTCTTCAGCTCGCCCTTCCGTGCAGATTCTACGATTGGCGATATCAGCTGTTGCTGCGACTTAACTTTCAAGAGGGCACTCGGGATCTTCGAGAGCGTATCTTTCTCTTCATCGACCTTTTCAGATTGCCCGCTGGTTGTTTTCGACGGCGGCCTTTCCTTCGTTGCCTCTTCGTCATCGTAATATTCATCGTCAGATTTCTCCTTCGTCGAAGTCGCGGTCTCCATGAGAGCGATTCGCGACTCCATGGTAATCGGTTTTTTGTGTCTCAAAGCTCGCAAGGGTTCCATGCTCGGTAGCAAGACTGTGGGTAAGTGACAGGGCGCCATGTTTTTATATTGGGATGGATCATTATCCAGTGCCAGCGGGGATGATGTCTCATCGTCAGAGGTATGCGCCTCCGAGGACGAAATTTTTGATCGTTCGATGTCCGACGATATTGAAATCGAGCTGGAGGTGGCTTTCAAGCTCTTCGGATCTTTAAATAGCAGGCTTTCAGTAGATTTCGGTGTTTTATCCTTAGATTGAATTGGATCGATCTGCATCGAAATCTCGGTACCTTCTTGTTCCACTTGAAGCGACGGTGACGCTGATTTGCTTGACCCGTCTTCAACCGTTTCCGGATATCTCAGAATTTCCTTTCTCTGAGAATATAATATCTTCCGCAATTCCTCGTGAAATTCCGGAAGTCCGTCGGAGCTGGACTCGCTATCGTCTTTTGCTTCAATTTCCGTTAGCAATGACGCTCGCGAGGAGACAGCTTCGGTTTCGTTCGCCTTCCATAGGGATTTATGCATGCAGGATAAGCACTTATCACGGTTCTTGCGTCGAAAGCACGAAATCCTCGGAATAGCGTCTAGGAGTTTTGCCGAACGATTTTCCCACGTTTCGTACTTAGCGAACTTCGTACTAAAGGCAGACTTCGTCAATGATTTTGCGGGAACCATGGAGGATTTGTCGGAGTTCGACTTTAACAGCTTATATTTAACGCTTTGCTCTTCGATATTTACAGCCCATGTTTCTCTCAATCTTCTTTGCGTCTCACGTAAGAAAGGAAATTCTGGGCTGTGAGTCCTGGATTCAGGACTTTCGCTCTCAGCCACGTCTGACTCGTTTGTATCTATTATCGATCTGTCAGTGGAAGCGCGCGATCTCACCGACGTTTCCTCCCACACTTCGGCTTTGAAATTCAGATTTTTGTTAAGCGTCAAGTGCTTCAATGCCTTATATGCGCATCGTTGCGAGTAATTCAAAAATTCGCACGTTTTATTATCGATCGCCTGCTCCAATTGCATTTGAAGATTAGGTATCCTATCTTGTCATTCTGATTCATTGATAAGCTTTTCTTGAATTTCAGGAGCTTGTAAATTCGATGATTGATTTATTATTTTGCTAGTTGTTCTTCCAACTCTATTTTGGGGTTGAAACGATTTTGGAAATGACGATACAATTTTTAAACTATTCTTCATCTCTTTCGTAGACTTTTTGCCGAGAGAAAATTTAAATTTAAATGTATGAACGTCAGATCTGAAATTGTATTGTTTGTCTAGTATACCATTTTTTTTACTTTTAGATTTAACCTCAGCAGTTCCATTTGTGGTTAAATCAACAGCATTATCCAAATAATACTCCAACTCCTTTTGTGGAACATTAACTCTTTTGATCTTCTTACTCACGACAGAAGTTATTCTATTCTTATCTTTATTATATTTAGACGCATCCTGCACGTGTGGCAATTTGTCCAATTTTTTTCCCAGTGACACGTTTGCTCTCGGATCTTCCGTCAAATATCTTTCGATATCGTCGTCAAAAATTTTCACCACGGGTTCATATCTGTGAAAAGGGCATGTCCTTTTTGAATATATTCTTCCATCTCTCGATCCGTCATGTGATATGATAGAATTTTTGGAAGAAACATCAAACGACTCTGGTTCTTTATACAAATCTTCTTTGATTGTAGATTTATTTTGAATAGTAACAAGCATGTGTTGTTCCTCTGCATTCGTCCTAGCGATTGTGACTGCGTCATTTTTTGTTGGTTTCTTTGGTGTAGGAGGAGAGATTTTAAATATTGGCTCTTTTGCGTTAGAAATAAAACTTTCGTTGTCTTTTGTTAAAGAAATATCCGGCGCTTCGGAGGATTTCGGATCTACGAAAAGTACGTTTTCATCGAAGCTTCGAGGAATGGAAGAATCTACGATATCGCGAACGTCTGTTTCAAAATCGCGCAAAACAGGAATGATAGAAAGGTAGGGTGATTTTGGAAATGAGTTTCTTACTCTAATTAATCTTTTCTCTTCATCGTCGCAAAACTTCTTCCAGTATTCCTTCGATTTAGGAAAAGGACTGTCCCATCTGAAGCGAGGTTATATATTATGCAAGAAATTTTTTATTAATTTTTAATACAATAATTTAATGAAATATATATTTATTTTAGGAACTTTTTTCTATAAAATACTGTGCTTAATAAAGAAATTAATTAATTGACATAATAATAAATTATTAAACTATATGGTTAATAGTAAAATTTATTTAACGATTAAAAAATATTTTTATACTAATTCTATTTTTATATTATTCAACATACTTTGTTCTCTCCATAACACGTAGCTTTTGCATTAAATAGCGATGTCTAGGTTGCTTCAACCTTGATGGATGAGACATTTTTAACAATTGTATGGACTATTTGATAGATATTTTGTACACTACGTAATAGATCGATGAGTTTGTTTCAACCGACGCAATTTTTTTATATTTAATTAAGCCACGATTGCGTTCTCGGCATCCTGTAATGATTGCCGATATGGACCAATATGGACTACTGACAACTACTGAAGGTATTTAATTTCGTTATCGATCAAACAAATTCGGAGCATAGCGCAAATATCGCAGTCATCAGTTTCATGACAAGCTTCCGGGAACCAGGAAGAGATGGTAGTACTTTCCTCTAAAGCTTGTATTGATCGCGTAGGTCGAGTTCTGTACCATCGACTGACGTTCATCATGTCCTGAGGTATCCTTTTCGTTCTCTGAACATAAACCTGCTCGTTTTCAATGACTGAATTTGTATCTATCGTGGATAATATACCGCGAAGTTCTGATATTTATCTGAAAAAGATTCACATGTTTGTTGGGGATTTTGCTTAAAATCTAACGGATGTTCCACGAGATGTCTTCACCATTTAAGTTTTGCGTTTTACGCACATACTCCCACAGGGATGACTGATCCGGCGATCTGCATAGTCATTTGGGCTTAGCAAACCCATGGACTCGAGCTCACTGCACTGCGGACATTCATATATATTTATATATCATATCTATATGCACACGTTTTCGTGAATGATGCAAAAGAAGACTTACTATTTCTAAATACATATTTTTTTTCGATAGTGCTAACTAAACATTTACTTACAGTAAATAAATATTTACTCAATAACAGAAAATATAGTTAAATCAATGGTTTTTGTACCAAATAAATATAAATATATATTTACAATTAGTAAATATTTAGTTTATATTGTATTATTCAAACAAATATTTATTAAAATTTTGTACATTTTTTATTTTTAATCCTTACAAGATTGGATCACTAGTGACCGAGCGATTTTTGTTCGTGTAAGTTTCTTTGAGTCTTTCGATAATTATAAATTATACTACATTTTATTATTTTCCAAAAGAAGTTTCAATATTTATTTTAAAAAGTTGAAAGTATGTTGGTAAATTTTTAGAAATTTTTTGAACCATTCTGAGGCGTGTTCGGATTCCCATCCGAGTGTTCTCCGAGTTTCATGTCATCCTTGTTTATCATTCGGTAAATAACAAGTATGGAGTGATACCTGAGTGGCACTCGGATGAGAATCTGAACATAGCTCTGAATAGATGAAAAGAACGAACAGATTCTAGTGACCCATGTTTGGACGGATGAGGCACAAATCGTACCTTGTAATGTAAGGATTAATTCAACACATTGAAGAAAAATAGGAGCAAGTATAAGAATAATAAAAATACAATATATAACAAGAATGGAAATAAAAGAGCTTATTTTTTAAATTTAATAGATACAAATTATATATGTATAATTTTATTTAATATACATTTGTGTAATTTAATATATTAACGAGCATTAATAATATAGTGACTTTATATTGGAGAAAAAGTCTCTTTACACAAGTTGGTAAAAAGACTTTTTTAGCAACCCATATATTCTATTTAAAAAAAAATTGGCAATTACATCACTTGATAAAGCAACGTTTCAACTTTAAGAATCTGTATTTTTAATTGTGATACAATGATTTTTAACAGAGTTACGAGCAATAAAATCAAAATTCCTTTTCACTTAATCCGTGAAATCGTAGGAACATTTTTAAAAAACGATTTTATAGGGAAAATTTTAAGCTTTCACGATAGATAGTAAAAAATTTGCTCAATTTTTTTTTGGGCACGCTACAAAGTGAAAAAAAATTTTCATTTTTTTCAGCTCGCAGTTTTCTATATGTAAAAATTACAAAAATTACTCATAAATTCAAAAAATATAATAATCATTCAAAAGTAGAGATTTCAAGCTTTAAAATCCTTTTTTTTTTAAATTTAAATTTTGATCATTCTTAACGAAGATATTGATGGGGGAAGGTCTTTTTATCAACTTGTAAAAAGACTTTTTCTTTAATCCAATATATCAGATTTACATCTATACCTTATATCATTTCAGTATTATTCACGATGCGATTTCGATTATCTTTGGAAAATATAAACAATATAGAGTATGATTTTAAAGTTTAACAGAGATGAGAGAGGAAAACAGATAGGATGGCAAAGAGAATACATCTCATGAAGTAATTATTTTAGAGGCAAAAGGGACACCTTTTCGCGACGGGGCATCGTACAGTTACGCAACTTCGGTATTAACTGCCGGCCAATAAGCTGCAGCACATATTGCGCTCGCTTGCGACCACCGAGGAAGCTCGGAAACTTCCAATGCGCCCGCGCACGTGTGTATTTTGCAATAAATAGACGCATTGCGCTAACAATAAGTTACGTACGTAATTACGTACATAACTTACGCGAGGAGAAGCACACTAACGTTCGCACTATGGTACGTTGACCTAACGATGAGACAATGTGCCAGTGTGGTCGCCATCTTATTTCCGTTGTCTCAGCTGTCGCCAGTCTTTCGGTCGAGTGACTCGATGCACCTCCCATTCAGCAAGGAGACTATTGGGCGAAAATAATTACTTGTCGCACTGTAGTTCGAATCGGAATCACTTGTATATCTACGTTGAAATTTCAAATAAAGTTTTGATCTGAATAATGCATTATAAAATCGATGTAGAAATAATAAACAAATTTATTTTCAAGGATCGTAATTTATTCACAGATCTTTTTCTCGTAAATATGCCAGTATAAAAAAAGTTCATCAAATTTGATAAAGAACAGTGGTAGTTCAGGGCCAAAATTTGTCTGTGTTTGAAACGTATGAAATCGATCAATCTTTATAAATTTGGACTTTAAATGTAGTTCTTTAAATGCAGTTGGAAATTTTTAAAAAAGCAATTTATTATCCTCCCCGAATATCAAATTATAATTTTGGCTCTTAATTGAAAGGGAATATTAATCATATTTATAAAACTGCGTATTAATCCTTTATGTAAAATATGCTAATTAAAAAATAA